CAAGATCAACTAATAGAATTCAAAACCCCACATACATGATGTGGAACCCGGGATCAACTATTGTGATAAAAAACTTCGGATATACATTAGCAACCTGAAACTCAAAACTCCAAATAAACCCGCCTTACTAGATCCGCACCCAATAGGGGAATAAAAACCAAGATAGTAGGGATAATTAAATTGATTAAGCGACAAAAAAAATCTTGATAAATTAAAATCAATTTAAAAAAGAGATTGATGAAAACACCACAAGTTACCTTGATAAGTAGATATCAATCCCCCACTCAATAAGAATGTTGAAGAAAACCTCACTAGTTGAAAACTAAAACTTCATAATTTTATTATTCAAACTTGAATTATTACATGTAGGAATTGAAGACCTATTTATAGTGTAGGGCATGTGAATAATAAGAAAAATAATATCCTAATTTAATGGAGAAATTACATAAAACATTAAATATAAAATAAAATAGAAAAACTAGACAAATTAAGAGAATTATAAATAAAATAGGATAGATATGATCTCTCTTTTTAAATAGAGAATATCTTAATTAATTGTGGAGATTTAGGAGAAGAAATTCTAGTAAGATATTTTCCTCTTCCTCAAGTGTTTTCCTTTTTCGTAAGATTTGGCATTTAAGGAGTTTTTCTATTTTTCAAGATATCTTGCGATTTAGAAATAATTTCCTTCCTTAACTAATTCTCCCTCATAAGAAGAAAGATTTCCCGTGAGATTAGGAAAGAAAATCCCATAAGATTTTCCCTTTCCTTGCTCACTTCATCCCCTCCATCTTTAAAATGATTCATCCTCGAATCAAACACTTCTTATGTTGGAGTTTCACTAATTCTGCTTTCTTTAAGAAAATGTCATCGGTTAGGAAGTTTTATAAGGTCATTGTGAAAATCTATAAGGAACAGTTAGTAAAGAAAATAGCACTCCCTCCCGTGTTTCACTCAATCTTCTTCTTTCAAGTTGAATGTTAGAATTGAATTCCTTTGAATAAAGATAATCAAGTTTTGTTCAAGAAATCATAATTGAAAAAAATAGTAAATGACTCTAGATGATGATTGATAAACACACAAATGTAGATGTATAATGCTAAGTAACTAGGATAGAATTAGTTTCTTAGTAATATAATAGAATCAAAAACATAATTAAAGAAAGAAACTTAAAGTGTAAGAAAGACAATTGAATATGATTTTTTTTTATTTTTGTGTTTTTTTATGTGTATGAATAGATGCAAAATATTTTTTTCTTTTTTTTCACTATGAAGAATAAAAAAA